CTGGTAGCTCCTTTAGTTTCCAATAAAGAAAATACACTATTACATTATGCATAGCGGGTACCACAAATCAATTTTGATTCTGTTGAACGGACAATGAAATCGAAGCTATTTAATCGTATTAAATTTAAACCGATAACAACCATTTCAACATTTCTCCATGAATACAAAATTAATTAATCTAACAGTTTCCGTCTAATGTTTATTCTTGATAATAATCTACAAAGGTATAGATAGAGCTGTTAATTTTTAATCGATTTTAACGGTAAATTAGATTATACGGGAAACAGTAGGCAATGGTTTTGTTTAATATACACACATCAGCGTGGAAGCATTTACGATGCAGTGACTCGTAAGAAACATCTGTTTTCGGCGTTAACCAAAGTTCACAGTTGGTATAACATATGTAATTGCTATTCCTGAAGTTAAAAATTGTGAATACAGCCATAAGTTTTTTTAGAAACGAAAAAAATGAAACAGTGTAGGTTTAAAAAATATGTGTGGTGTCGTGGGACACCGGATAGGAACGAAGTTCCTTGTTATAAAAATATTAATTCTAAGTTCCATTCGAGGAATAAAGAAAATAATTATTCGGGTATACATTTTTTATCATGATTCTTTTTTTGATAAAAATAAAATAAAAACTACTTTACAAAGTTATCAACTTTATTTTATTCAAAATGATTTATAAAAAATATGTTATTTTTTGTACGTTATTACAAAGTTAAGTCGTACACTGTGTGCGTTACTAATAAAAATCTTACGTTACGGACGTTTTTTCCCGGTTAGAGTACCCCTCCGCATCGTCCCATAAGGAGCTTCGTTCCAAAATAAAAAGGGGTATAAAAGAATTTTAATTTATATTGAAATGGTTTGTAAAGGTTGCTCGGAATATATTGACGGGGTATCGCAAATTAACGATGCGTGAACTTGCCCCCGGCTACCTTTTGCGGAGACAAATTGAGCTGTGTGTATGCTAATGTTATGGGCTATCCTTCGTGCAGTTCATCGCTTTTAGATTAGTAGTTGAAAGGTCAATCGAATGGAATTCAATTTTGTAGATGGAAAGCTCGAAGTCGACGCCCACATTTATGTAAAGCGGAGTTAAAGTTTGTTTGTTTTTTGTATTGTTCTTTTGCTCTAGATTCTATTTTAAGACGTCTCTCAACAGTGGAATCGTGTCTGATTAATAATAACTTTTATTCTTATAAACATAAAGCTTCTAAAGATTTTAGCTACAAAACATATCGATTAGAGGGTAGTTGTTAAAATGATTTACGAAAATGAAGGCATAGGCAAATATTTGTAAAAAAAATATATATGAACGTATTTGCGTAAGCCAAAATGTGAGTTCAAGTTATACTGGTGCCTTATTCTTTACATAAAGATATAATAAAAACATAAAGAGTACTTAGGTCTAATCACAAGCTTTTAAATATATAAGTTTTAAATCGGCGGGGTCTGTGTATTCTGGAAAATTCCAGGGATGCTCCCGCTCTTGTGTTCGGAATTCGAGTTTTGGCCGACAATTTCAGCGTAGCGATTCGTGAAGCGTGACCGTGGATATAAGAGTTATCAGTTTTAAATGAAATTGCTCTGTACTTTAGGACCGATGTTTAAAAATACCAACAAATAGTGTCAAACCAAAATAAAATGTAGTTTCGGAGTCAGAGGTTCAGATTACTTTTATCTAATATATTACATAATAGTGGGAAAAAGGCTGTTTTTATTTTTTTAATTGATCCAACTAAATATATTAATGAATTGTCAAACAGAGTACTGAATTATTTTGTCTTTGCCTATTTATAAATTGATTTACATAGTTTGTATACTTCAAAATACATGTACACTTCAGTTACATAATCAAATATATTATTCTACCGTTCAATTTTATTTACCTGAATCAATGTTGAACATTTAACCTCGTTAGTGCTACATTTCTAAGGATTTGTAGGTACAAGCGGAGGGCTACGTACCTATAAATTACTTGGTACCTCTTGTAAGGTAGGACGGGTTCCATTTAAACCAATTTATCTTTACTTGATTTATTAAGGGTCCCTTTAATTAAATGAACTCCGAAATATTGGTGGGAGCGTTCTGAACGAATTATTTCAGTTTGTTTAATCAAATGAGTTGTATTATTTATTTCAGAATATAAGTTGGATTGAGGGATATTTAATAAATTTATTTATTATACATCTTATTAGTAACGTTTACTGTAGACATTTTAACTCACAGACACAGGTTACTGAGTTTCTTGCTAGATCTTCTCAGTGGTTCGCGATTTCGATACATCGGTCGATTCTGAGAAGCACCGCTCTTGCTAGTGTTAGCAAATTCTCTCAGATTGAGCCCGTGAGCTCGCATAACCATCAGGGCGTATCTAGAATAGCCCCTTAGGCCCCCAGGATGAGGTAGAAAACAAAATAATAATCTATAAATACATTCCGGTTACAAGAGTGAGACAATCGATAGAGAATACAATAGTGGTTATTGGTTATAGTTTTACTGGTGGTAAGACCTCATGCGAGTCCGCACGGGTAGGTACCACCACCCCGCCTGCTTCTGCCGTGAAGCAGTAATGCGTTTCGGTTTAAAAGGTGGGGGCAGGTGTTGTAACTATACTAATACCTTAGAACTCATATCTCAAGGTAGGTGGCATCATTTACGTTGTAGATGTCTATGGGCTCCAGTAACTACTTAACACCAGGTTGGCTATGAGCTCGTCGACCCATCTATGCAATAGAAAAATCATATCTTTAAGGACGCGACGACTTGTTGTTACTCAATTCAATTCAAAGTCATCGTACTTATTTCAAAGAAACTACCAAAGGAATCTTACAAATAACGTAACACCACTTTTTTTTCATATACATATATATAATCCGGTAATACTTGAAATACGTAATATGAAGGATAAATTCGTGTTTTTCAAAAATGAAGAACGAGCACTGACTAAGAAAAATAAATAATATTTCATAAAAAAAAGTTGAAAGCGTACTTTCTCGAAATACCAGCGGTGCTTAGCGAAAATGATTGTAATAAATTCGAAGCTGCTAACTGTCGAAGCTTAAGTGACTTGAGTGTTTTGTTTACTTCGAAATTCGTATTTGTTTTATAATTCCTATCTCGCTTATGCCTTTTCGGAGTTTCGGTGAAATTCGGAATTATGGTACACGAACGCTATGAGTTAGGAGCTTAGGTTTGTCGTTAATTTGACAATTTAATGATCATTTCACACGTAAATAAAATTGTTTTTTTTTTTTTTATTGCTTACATGGATGGGCGAGCTCACAGCCCACCTGATGTTAAGTGGTTACTGGAGCCCATAGACATCTACAACGTAAATGTGCCACCCACCTCGAAAATGAATGCGCCAACCTGAATGTGCAATTTCGAAAAGGGCACATGTCGCATATTTTATCAAATACGTTTTTTCATATACATGTAGTTTTGAGGCTTACCTACACCCATTTTATAATAAATCCAGTAATTTTCAATTGCCAATTAATACTAAAATATATCTCAAAAGTTAATATTTTAAATTTTACACTGCTTTAGAAAATAATCAGTTTTTTTCATTTCCTGAACATGTTACATTTTCAGAGATGTGCCCTTTTCGAAGTTGCATATTCAATTGTTGTTTAGAGCTTCTACATACCGTTAGATAGAATTACAAAGAATACGCATACAGATAATTTAATGATATTTGCAAAATACGACATCTGAAAAACACAATTGGAGAGTGTTCTGAGGTATTTGAGATGTACTCAAACCTGTCATGCTCTTTTCTGACGCAAAGCTGTTATTTTTCTCGGTTTGAAAAGTAAAGTAGCCTTTACAACTGAGAAATGGGCCTCATGTGTCGAAGTTACGCAACTCGTTTTGTAATGTAGCCTCCAGTTACTACAGAGCATTAAGGAAGGTGTAAATTCGTACTAAAATATTATAATGTAGGACCATAACAAAAGTTATGGGTTAATTGAGAATTTTGAATATATTTTGGTTGTAACACTGCGACAATTTTTGTATAGATTTAAATGAAAATAACGTCTACTTCAGTAACAATTATTGGGGCTTATGTTTTGTTACTAAAAAATAAAAATAGCAGAAAATTTTTCGGTAATAATAACACTTATAATAAAGATCAAATTCGAAGACCCAAAATTTCATTGGCTCACCCTTTCGCTTTTGCAACAGAAAAGCTTTGTGATTAGGGCCGACCGATGTCCCAAGATAAGATATCATCGAAATCAAGTTCCATTTTCACCCGAATTTCAATACTTAACATTGGGCCGAGGCAAAGTTTCCGGACCCTAACGGAGTATTCGTTGTATCGGGGGGACCTGCACAATATGTTTGTTGACCTGTCATATATTTATCACTGTCAGTTCGGGTCAGACGCAAGTGGAATTCAATTTATTTTCGGTCTGCCTCGCGATTTCCCGTGTGAATTCGGTACCGTGTTAGAAACTCGAAATTGAAAATAAACATTGGTATATTTCATTTTGGGAAGTTTTTGAATCGATGTGTTTTTGTTTCGCTTCGCTCGAGGTACGCCTAGGGATGTTTCCGTATTTCATCTTGATTGAATAGCTGATTTCGTACAATCTCCGAACTTCATTCAATTGAATTATTTATCCTTGCGATATACCAAACTATAATATAAAGAAAGTTCTTAACCGGTATAAGAAATATTGACGGCTTTACATTTATTTCTTTGCCTAATAAAATATTAGCAAAATCATATAAATAAAATTGCATTTAGTAATTAATTTTCTTCGTTATTATCACGTGACTAATGTTCGCGACTTTTTTAGTATTGTCATATCAGATACGCGTTTTTTATCAATTACTTTCCAGTCTAATTTAAGTAAATGCACACAACGTTATCTAAATATAAATTCAATTTGATATGTGAATATATAGGTATTATGTCAATATACGACTGTCTGTTTGTTTGTCAAGGTATAATTAACAAAAGCTTCTCTGTTTATTTTTAGTATACCTGCCTCCATGAAAACCTATTTCACTATCTGTGCGAAGAAAACGGAGGCGCTGTGACATTACCAGCTGCGAGAGGTGACGACGCTTGGAAGGTTTACTTCAATGAGAATCCGGAGGAGATTGTAGACGAATTCGCTATGAGATACGGCATCGAGGCTATTTACCAAGCAATGACGTAAGTATTGTAAGATGTAAGTTTTGAAGTCGTCGTGGCCTAAAGGATAAGACTTGCGATGCATTCGCGTTGACCGATGCACCGGTGTTCGAATCTCAGTCAGGTACTGGTACAGGTACAGGTACAGGTACAGTAATGAAATACGTACTCAACAAATGTCACGATTGACTTCCACGGTGAAGGAATAACATCGTGTAATAAAAATGAAACCCGCAAAATTATAATTCGCGTAATTACTGGTGGTAGGACCTCTTGTGAATCCGCGCGGGTAGGTACCACCACCCATGGATATCAGTAATGCCACCGGCATAGTCGAGCCTGATAAATGTCGTTTGGAAACTTTGAGTCTACGGAGAGATTTCGGTTTTCTCTGTATTTTGTACCGTATGTTCCATGGGAAGTGCTCTGAGGAATTGTTTGAGATGATACCATCATCTAGTTTTTACCATCGCAACGCCCGCCACCGGAGTAAAGTTCATCCACGGTGCGTTTCCAGAGATCTTTTTTGCCACGTACCATCCGGATTTGTAATGAGCTCCCCTCCACGGTGTTTTCCGAGTGTTATGACATGTCCTTCTTCAAACGAGGCTTGTGGGGGTAATAAACGGTAGGCAGCGGCTTGGCTCTGCCCCTAGCATTGCTGACGTCCATGAGCGATGGTAACCACTCACCATCAGGCGGGCCATAACCGGTATTGCCTAAACGGCAATAAAAAACGTTGCGCATTTCAGTTCAGAATAAATTTGATTATACTGTCTATAATAATTTTGTTATTATTAAATTACACATTTTATTAAAGTATTTTTTTAAAGCGTGAGTATACAATTTCATAATGAGAGCTCAAGTTATATTGGACATTGTTAGTTTTCTAAACGATGTGGTTACCTGTCAATACACGTCCGACTTTTATCATCGAATAGCCAATAATAGTAGACGAGTATTACGCCCACCTGATCTAATGTTATCTCACAAAGACCGGAAATAACGATATCTATTTTATATGTATTGCTACAAGTCTGCTTTGATTTTCATCTAAATTATCACCTATATCTGAGTCGCTGTGTTCCATTAAGCTTCATATGTGTGGGTGTATACCCGATGCCAATATAACAATATTATGCCGTCAATCTGACTTGGAGATGAACATGAAAGGTGTGAGATGAAATTACGTAGTTACTGGAATAGTTTTTGTAAAAAAATCTTACTTCAGAGACGAGTGACACAGAATCTCAGATTGGCGTTCTTTTAATTTTTAATCTAGATTTTGTTTTGTTTTCCAGACATTTCCACTGTCTCTCGACGAAGTACCTTTGTCCCGGAGTGCCGGCTGTAATGTCTACGCTATTAGCTAACATTAATGCCTACTACGCGCACACGACAGCGTCATCGGCTGTGTCTGCATCAGATAGATTCGCGGCTTCAAACTTTGGGGTACACAAAAGCATAATATTATTTAAAAATTCGATACAATCGGTTATAAGCCGCGCTAATAAAGAAACGAATCTAAAATGGCGGCGACGATCATGCGCTCTCACTCTAAACTATTGCTGTCTTTAGTCGCACACGGTGCGTACTGCATGCAAAAAAAATATCAGTTCTGACTTTGTTGTTGAGTTCTATTTTTTTCACTTTTGAGTTGTGCGACTTAGATGACAGGCAGCAAAAGTGTCTACGCAAATTGCATCCTAGATAAGACACCTCCCCCTCTGCCAACGCATAAAGTAAAGTAAAGTACATTCTCCTTTTTTTTTTTACAATAAACAACTTTTTCTTTCTGTCTTTCTTTTTATTTGTTGACCCTACCATGTGTCAGTGCAGGTAGGTATCTGTCAGTATAGGTACATGGACGCTATTGTCGATTCGTTTCTTTATTGGCGCGGCTTATAATTAATAATCTACTACTGGATTAGTATATACGTACATAGTTTAAAACGTGATCAAGCTAAAGTAGCAATGGGCCGGTCATATCTGTCGAAGAACCGTTGANTCTTTCTTTTTATTTGTTGACCCTACCATGTGTCAGTGCAGGTAGGTATCTGTCAGTATAGGTACATGGACGCTATTGTCGATTCGTTTCTTTATTGGCGCGGCTTATAATTAATAATCTACTACTGGATTAGTATATACGTACATAGTTTAAAACGTGATCAAGCTAAAGTAGCAATGGGCCGGTCATATCTGTCGAAGAACCGTTGACATTGACCATTGAACCGTAAACGTAGTATTGTAGGAAGCCCAGTAAAAAGATGGAGCGACAATATACGCAGAATAGCGGGCAGTAGATCGAAACTAGATTCCCAACGAGTCGCGTGGCATGCCTTGCGGGAGACCTATATCATGAGGCTAATGACGATACTATTAGTCGAGTTCTAAGACTAGGCAATTTTGATTTTATGCAATGTTTTTGTGCTTAGTTGTGTGCACGAGCTCACGGCCCACCTGGTGTTAAGTGGTTACTGGAGCCCATAGACATCTACAACGTAAATGCCGCCACCTACCTTGAGATATAAGTTCTAAGGTCTCAGTATAGTTACAACGGCTGCCCCACCCTTCAAACCAATACGCATTACTGCTTCACTGCAGAAATAGGCGGGGTGGTGGTACCTACCCATGCGAACTCACAAGAGGGCCTACCACCAGTAAAGCAGATCAGAGCACAGATTAGAGCAAGATCTGATGATAAGCGTCTACTGGTAGCAAGGCGCCTTTTGAGACCGCACGGGTAGGTGCCACCACTCTGCCTATTTCTGTTGCTAATACAAAAAAAACGATTGATAAACAGAAGATTTTGTCAAATAAATAAGACATAAAATGAAATTAAATATGAATATCTAGATTTAAAGCACAAACTAGATTATATAATTGATTATTCTGAATTCAGACTTATTGAAAACTGGTCTGTGAGAAAAAGGTTTTTTTTGGAACATGATAATATTAGAAAGTATTAATTTTCTTTTAACAGAAAGAGAAATTCGTGAAACTGCTCGATCAACTCCACAACTCTCTCAGAATCGATCTCTCGATGTATCGAAACAACTTCCCCGCTTCGAGTGCTGAGAAACTCATGGACCTGAAGTCTACTGTTGACCTGTTGACCAGCATCACTTTCTTCAGGATGAAGGTAATTATTCAAATATTGATTTCACGTATCCTCCCACTGTCTTACACAATTTTGTTTGGTTGACATACACTTATATAAATATACTAGCCGTACTCGGCCGCTTCGCTGGGCATTTAAAATTAACATTATTATTTATTGTCATTATTATTAGGGAGACCAACACTCATATAAATATTAGCCTATCCATTAAGTACATGTATTTTCTGCATGGATACCAAATTTCAAGTCAATCGGATGCACGGTTCAGTAGTTATAACAGAACATCCGTAAAAACCACTGTAGATTTATATATTAGTATAGATATATTAACAGAACCTTTCAACTTAGTTTCACCAATTGACATCTCGGCATGAATGTCGCTAACTAGCTTGAGACAGCTGTTGAATACTCATTTGCAGTATGCAAAAGCTGTTTCACACTTTAAGCCTGAGACACGGCTGGTCTGTGGTTGAAATTGGTCAACTGACAGTATCTACCCGTTTAGGGTCACAATACGATTTTATTTCAGTATGTACACAAGATTTGAGTGATTCTATTCTTTTCAAGGTCCAAGAGTTGAGCAGTCCTCCCCGAGCTAGCACAGTGGTTAAAGACTGCGTGAAAGCCTGTTTGAGGTCAACATACCAGTTCTTATTCGAAAATTGCTACGAGCTTTACAATAGAGAATTTCAGGTAAGCGTTGAATCAACATTTAAAAATATTCTTTTTTGATATTCGCATTACATAGAGACATTTCAAATATTGATTAACGAGTCGTACGTCAAACAAGAGATTTTTCAGAATTAATCTCATCACCAATGTTTATTATAAAACCTTTGGAATTTTTTTTTATAGATTTATTTATTTTGAGTAAAATCAATTATTAGCAAAAAACATTGCTTATTATTAGCATAGAATTAAAGTCTATAAACTATTTAAACTCTATTTAATTATTTAAACGTTAAAAGGTATTGGATTCGATTGTCACGCCACATCTAAATGTCAGAGTACTAAAATGCCTACTAGACTTATTTAAATTTTACTGTGATTTTACTACGAGTGTGTTACAAATAAATATTATTATTTCATCGAATTATTTTAATAAATAGTATTATTTATTCGTAGCGAGTATGTATGATTAATATGTTGAGTTAATAATCCAAAAGCAAAGTTTAGTACAAATAGTAGGTGTTTAAAATGTTGCTAAATTACGTTAGTACTATTGAACCATAATCTGTCAAATAATATACCTAGTCAGGTCATAAATTCTGTCACATGTTTAATGTAAAATAATTGAAACAAGTTTATTTATTATGTAACCATTCATATACCAAAATGAACTTAACGAAACATAGATTCTTATGACACTAAAGTTTATTCAAAATGACCTCTGTGATTTTGAATACAGGCCTTCAATCTGCGCGGCCAGTCATCTATCGCAACACGAACGAGGTTCATGTACAATATCGGCAGCTGCCTTAATCAAGGATGTCTTGAGTGACTCCAAATTGGGATGAGTCAAAGCACGCCTTTTCCTCCAAGTGTTGCCATATCTTGTAATCTAACGGATTCAAATCTGGACTGGAGGAGGGCCAGTCTTCGTGCCGGATGAAGTCGATTTCACGCGCCGCCAGCCAGTCTTGTGTGCTCTTCGCTCTATGAGCTGGCGCCGAATCTTGTTGCAATACCCAGTGCCTGTTATTGAACATGGTATGAGAAACAGGTTCTACAAGATTCGTCAGGACTGTATTTTGATACACAACTGCATTCGTTTTTACATCTTTCTCACAAAAATGTATCTCTGTTAATCCCCAATAAGAAACTCCCAACCATACCATGAGCGAGGATGGAAAATGACCTCGTTGGACACGCGGAATACGGTTGCTCGCTTCTTCACTACTGTGTGCGTACACCTTATCATTTTGTTTGTTGTAGCTCTCTTCTACGGTAAAAATTTTTTCATCCGATAAAAGAATTTCCCGATATATTTTTCCCGCGTACCGCTTCAACAAAGCGCGGCATCTCTTCAGTCTCAGGTCCATTAGACGAGCATTCAAACGATGTCCTGTTTTTCTTCGATATGCCCGAAGCCCTAAGTCTTCATTTAACACCCTTTTCACCGTGATTCTGCTTAACGCCATCTGAAGGGCCAACAGTTTCTGCTTACGTTTGGGATTTCTTTGAATTCGCGCCTTCATAGCTTTTATCACTGCTAGAGTCCTAACATACCGAGGGCGACCACTTATTGACCTGTCATCTACACTAGAGTCTTCATTGTATCGTTTGATGGTACGATAAACGAACCTTTTGGTTATATTCAAATTTTTCAGTATGTTAAAAATTTGAATTAGCGCGTAACCGCAACGATGCAACGCAATAACTGCAACGCGGTCTTCTTTAAGCGTCCACTCCATATTTAAAAATGAGTAAAATTCTTAAAAGTATACATTTTTATTTTCATGAACAATTCGAAATTCGAATTCAATAAAGTTTTTTGTGGCCAGCATTCTAAAAGAAAAGTTTTTACTGTGTGACAATACTTATGACCTGACTAGTTATAATAACAATAAGAAGAAAAGTAAATACATGATAACAATTGATTTCATTGTTTTATATTTAACGGCTGCCTGAAAGAGATCGCTTGCAAGATAGCCTATAGTACTGATTTAGATTTTTTTTAAAACTTGAAAACTATAAACAAGACCAAACTAGACTATAACTCATTAGTACTCTGTTCGTTATCCCACGCGCCCTACTTACTACATCTATAGTATAAAAGTGAATATATTATAAATTTTTGTGTTGTTGAAACGACTTACAGGTAGACCCCAATGAAGCAAAGCGTGACCCAGCTGACCACGGACCACAGTTAGACTCTGTCGATTTCTGGCACAAATTAATAGCTCTCATAGTGTCTGTTATAGAAGAAGACCGAAATAGCTACGCTCCCGTACTGAACCAGTTCCCGCAGGAGCTCAATATTGGACAGGTACTGTTTTTAATCTTCAGATAGGAATCTCTTGATACGGTTTAATCTTTGAAGAAAAAAATATATTTTTTTTAAGGTTTTTTTTTCAGAGCGACTAAGATATCTTTCTCTGATTATACTAATACACTTGTGGTAATTATGTTAAATAATGAAACATAGTTCTTCGGATGTACATACTGACTTTTTTATTCTTTACATAAAATTATACGACCAACTTATTGTTGCTAGGCAACAACTATTCTTCTTAATATAAACTTATGATGGTTACATATACTAAGAAGGCCAGTTCTAACAACACTAATATTTGCATACCACAACAAAACGAACTAAATATCATTCAAAGTAAGCTTTATGACATGTAACAAAGGCCGCTTAGGTCTTTGTCAATTTCAACAAAAAAATTATGATTGGAGAACCTGAAAATTACCAGAAATAAAAAAGATTTTTGCTCTGTTCTAAGGCTGCATTCGAAAAAGGTAGAAAATCTATTTCTGATGTCTCCTACTCTCTCAAAATACGACCGTATTCTGTACGATATATTATTGAACGATATTATGCAATAGATCATAAGTTCGAGAATGGGAATCGTCAAGATCTGATAGAAGATCTGAAGATACTGATCAGCGTTAACGTGTTACTTACAGTATTACGTTGTCTTTTGCAGCTGTCCGCAGCCACAATGTGGTCGTTATTCGCAGTGGATATGAAGTACGCTCTGGAGGAACATGAACAACACAGGCTCTGCAAGTCTTCCGCCTACATGAATCTCCACTTCAAAGTATGTTTTAAATTTTAAAAATACTAATAGTTACATTATTTCGCGCATGAAACTCAATTAGACGAGAAACTACAAACCATCTATTTGGGGTGGCGAAAAAAAAAAAATTAGGTTTAAAAAAAAAGTATATTGAAACCTTCCTTAGTTACGAAAAGAGTACAGTAGCATAGATGTGGGAAATAAATATAATAAAAAAGCAAATAAAAGCAAACTGTTCAAGTCTTATTATTTTACTTACCTTATTATTTTGATTTCGTGATTAGGTAGATCATTAAAAAAAAACACATAGGAAAACATGTTAAACTACGTAATTGCGTTGTTGGAGTTATAAAGAAACAACATTATAAAAAAAAAAAATGAAATAAGCCTTTATTGCTGTTTTACTCAACAATATAATTCACCTTAAATTGAAATCTAACTTATAATTAACTATTACGTTCGGCGTTCAGTGTTTTGGTTTTCGAAGCTCTCTTGACAAAAGCTTTCCCTAAAGATTTCCAATTTATAGTAATATATAAATCTACAGTGGATTTTATGGATGTTCCGCTATAACTACTGAACCGTGCATCCGATTGACTTGAAACTTGGTATCCATGTAGAAAATACATGTACTTAATGTTTTTTTTTTTTTTTGGCTAATATTGATATGGACTCTCTAATAGTAATGACAATAAATAATAATGTTAATTTTAAATGCCCAGCGAAGCGGACGAGTACGGCTAGTACTCTATATTTTTGGCTGTTCGACTATAATATGCCGACTATACTCTTTACTTCATCTAAAGAACCAATATTATCATATAATAGGTAAAATGGCTGCATACGAACTACGTGAAAGACGTCCCGCCGTACTGTGGCGCTGTGCCGGAGTATCCGGCGTGGTTCGAACCCTTCGTGATGCAGTGGCTGAATGAAAACGACGACGTGTCCTTAGAATATTTGAACGGAGCATTCAACAGAGATAAACGTGATGGGGTGAGTTACGAATACAATTCAATTAATTGATTAAAAGCATTTTCAGAATTATTTATGTTTAATTGGGTGTTCTTTCGGGTTTCAAGCTATTCAATTTGTATACTTTAATCCACATTTTTTTTGTATCTTTGTGAAATTGACTTAACTAGTGGACCCTCTGTAGTCGAAATTCGACTATAATTAATTGAAATTATAAGTTTGGACATTATTATTGTTCTTTTGTCAAAAACGATTTATTGTACTTCTATACTCACAGATTTTGCCAAGACTACACTATATACAAATAATATTAAAAACAAACAATATTAATCTATTCTCAATTTGACCACAGACTTTTAACAATAACAAAAGTTTGACAATAAACACAAAGCATATGTGTATGTATATGTGTTGTGTCAAATACACGGTAGTGTATGTATGTTTTCTTTATTGATTTAATGATTTTTTTATACAGAATTAAAAAAATATTAGTACTCTACACTTCATCTCTATATTCTCTATAAGTGTGAGAAATTTTATACTTCTCCGTCCGCGCAATTTTCGTAAAAAAGGGTACAAAGTTTAGGCTTCACGTATAGATGTTGCACTAAAAAATTTTCATAAAATGGATCCTTTTTTTTTTTTTATTGCTAGGTGAGGGTACGAGCTCACAGCCCACCTGGTGTTAAGTGGTTACTGGAGACCATAGATATTTACGACGTAAATGCGCCACCCACCTATAATTAGTTTAGAACTATAATTAGTTTCTATAATTAGTTTGGTACCTATATCTGATTTTCTATTAGAAACCAAATAAATGATTTTATATATTATTCAGTTCCAAAAGTCCAGCGAGCACGCGCTCTTCAGCAACTCAGTGGTCGACGTGTTCACGCAACTGACGCAATGCTTCGACGTGGTCTCGAAGCTGGAGTGTCCCGACCCTGAAATATGGAAACGGTACATGAAACGTTTCGCCAAGACCATAGTGAAGGTGCTGGTCGCGTATTCGGATATCGTTAAGAAAGAATTCCCAGAGCATCTGAAAGAAGAACGGGTTGTAAGTTATAGTTTAATTTTGAGTTACAGCTTTGAGATTATTTTGTTTATGGATTACGATCGGTTCGCCTTAGCACGTTAGAATGATGAAATTAAAACAATAAAATAAACACATACAAATAGTGCGTAGATATCAGTCATAATCTTTTCCATTTTATTGTCAGAGCAAAAATATTTTTACTGGTGGTGGGACCTCTTGTGAGTCCGCGCGGGTGGGTACCGCCACCCTGCCTATTTCTGCCGTTAAGCAGTAATGCGTTTCGGCTTGAAGGGTGGGGCAGCCGTTGTAACTATACTGAGACCTTAGAACTTATATCTCAAGGTGGGTGGCGCATTTACGTTGTGGATGTCTATGGGCTCCAGTAACCACTTAACACCAGGGGGGCTGTGAATTCGTCCACCCATCTAAGCAATAAAAAAAAAATATATTAGTCAAATCTTTTTACATACTGGTGGAGTTTGCCTTACAACGGAAATTGGATCATAGTCACTGATTATTATTATTACTAGTAGTATGTAGTATTACTTTTTCAGTTTTTGTTGTTGTTCAATTTAACATATTGAAAAAAAAATTTTTTTTTTGATCATTGGTAACATTTACAACACTAAAGCTCATTGACAACTATAAAAATCAGTTAACAAACAGAAGATTTGTTTTTAGAAAAATAACGTTGCGAATATTAATGTAAACGCTATACAAAAAATTGATAGCCAAAGATTGTTGAATTTCTGTCAGATTAATTCTACATTACCTAACTCAAAACCTTATACTGTAATGCTATTCTTTGCGAGCAGGCCTGCATCCTCATGAACAACATTCAGCAGCTGCGAGTGCAGCTAGAGAAGATGTTCGAGGCGATGGGCGGCACCAAGCTGGAGCGCGACGCGGCCGACATCCTCCACGACTTGCAGCAGCGCCTCAACAGCACGCTGGACGAACTCGCATCCATGTTCGCTAATAGGTACATGAAATATTCCATAAAATCATATCTTGAGTTCGTTTTATACACATGAAATATTCCATAAAATCATATCTTGAGTTCGTTTTATATACATGAAATATTCCATAAAACCATATCTTGAGTTCGTTTTATACACATGAAATATTCCATAAAATCATATCTTGAGTTCGTTTTATATACATGAAAAATTACATAAAACCATATCTTGAGTTCGTTTTATATACATGAAATATTCCATAAAACCATATCTTGAGTTCGTTTTATACACATGAAATATTCCATAAAATCATATCTTGAGTTCGTTTTATATACATGAAATATTCCATAAAACCATATCTTGAGTTCGTTTTATACACATGAAATATTCCATAAAATCATATCTTGAGTTCGTTTTATATACATGAAAAATTACATAAAACCATATCTTGAGTTCGTTTTATATACATGAAATATTCCATAAAACCATATCTTGAGTTCGTTTTATATACATGAAATATTCCATAAAACCATATCTTGAGTTCGTTTTATATGGAACGTAACCTAAAAAAATAAACTGTTTCAATCGCACGAAATTAAATCCGAATTTAGAAATTGTAATAAATATTTTTGAAAATCTACTATTATTGATTGGTATTGTTGGCCACTTTAAATTGTGATTATCGCTAGGCAGGGGCTCAGCTTGACCCATGGCAAACCGTTACTTACTCAATGTGCCTTATTAATGCCATAAAGTAAAAAATGACGCCTATTATTAGTACTATAATAGATAAAAATCAACGATGAATTAAAATTTCAATATATATTTTTATTGCCTTTGTAGGCAGACGAGCATACCTGATGACCCACCTGATGGTGAGTGGTTACCGTCGCCCATGGACTTCAGCAATGCCAGCGGCAGAGCGAAGCCGCTGCTTACTGCTTAATACTCTCCACAAGCCTCGTTTGAAGAAGGACATGTCATAGCGCAAAACTTTGAAATTAAGATGACTGGTTTAGTACCGCTATGACGAAAAATTCGATGAAACAAAAAGCAACGCTAATGAAAAAGACAGACATATACATAATAATAATAATAATTCAGGATTAGGACGTGGGATTTAGTACGTAAGAGATAGATATAGGATACCTCTGTAGGGTAGCACTGTTTTGGAAACTTTTGTTTTTTTTTTGTTTTGTTGTCTAAATTATTCTTAATTCGATTTTTTAGCCTGGAGTTCAGAATAACAGCGAGCGTGAAGGATCTAGGAGACCTGCTACAGAAGGTGGGCGGAGGCGGAGCGCCCGGCGTCCCACAGCACCCCGCGCACCAGGAGGCTGATGAGGTGCTCCGGCCCCTAATGGATATCTTGGTAAGCGACTTTGTACTTATGAGACTATCGCATCGCAGGTTCGCGCCAGACCGTAGCAGAACGCAGCCGTAACTATACTTGAGACCTTAAAACTTATATCTCAAGGTGGGCGGCGCGTTTACGTCGTAGATGTCTATGGGCTCCAGTAACCACTTAACACCAGGTGGGCTGTGAGCTCATCCAACCATCTAAGAAATAAATAAATAAAAAAGTGAGATAGTGCTCCTTATCGGCGCAGGCTAACAATACGCCAACACCAGCGCTTAAAGTAAAACTAGTGGTCCCCCCGGTAGTCGAAATTCAAGTATCGTTATTTAAAAGTATAAGTTTGTACACTATTATGGTTCTATTGTTAAAGACTATTATAATTTTTTAATCACAGATTTGCCAAGACTACACTTTAGACAAATAATGTTAAAGACAAACAATATTTAGTCTGTCAAATTTTGACCATAGACTTATAAGCAATAAGAAAAGTTTGACAATAAATAAATAGTATAAAAAAATTTACGTTCTGCACTCCTTCTCTATATTCTCTATAAGTGTGGGAAATTTCATACTCCTCCGTCCGCGCAATCTGTTGTAAAAAGGGGTACAAAGTTTTTGCTTCACATATTAATATATAGATATTTAACAAATACTGTAAATTATATATCTAAAATTCAGTTTAGAAGTAAGCTCCACCATCGTGTATCTCAGTTATTCGTTTAGATTTCGAAGATAATCGTAATTTAATTAAAATAACATTTTTGACCTTATGTTTCAAGACAACAAGATAAGTGCAGTTGGCACTCTAAGATCTATCGGTCCTAATCCCTTTGTGAGTCCGTAACCCACCTAGAAACCAGTTACAAAATATTAAGCAGAAATTCTCTTTTAGCGATTAGGTAGCGATAGGTAGGCAGCGGCTTGGCTCTGCCTCTGGCATTACTGAAGTCCATGGGCGATGGTAACCAGTCACCGTCAGGTGGGCCTTATGCTCGTCTGCCTACAAGGGCAATAAAAAAAAAGATTTATTGTTTTTACCAATTCTACTCTCCAATTCGTGACCTTAACTTAATTTACAGGACGGTTCTCTTACTATGTACGCGGAGTCTTGCGAGAAGACCGTCCTTAAGCGCCTTCTGAAGGAGCTGTGGAAGATTGTCATGAAGATATTAGAGAAAACCGTCGTACTCCCACCCATGACGGATAAAACGGTTTGTTTAAAATATCAGCAATAAAATATAAAAAACTAGCTGTACTCGCTGGGCATTTAAAATGAACATTATTATTTATTGTCATTATTATAAGGGAGTCCAACACTCATATAAATATTAGCCTATCCATTAAGTACATATATTTCCTATATGGATACCAAGTTTCACGTCAATCGGATGCATGGTTCAGTAGTTATAACGGAACATCCGATATAACCACTGTAGATTTATATATTAGTATAGATGGGTTGTTTATATGTATTGACGCTTTGAAGTTAAATAGTTACGTCTTGCTAAACATAATTTTAAGACAATTAGAGCAATTCGCAAATAAATTACTTTTTTGAAGAATTTTGGCTCTCAAACTTTTTATTTAGAGTTCATTACATTGAGTGACTCCAAAATCTTTCTTTTTATTTCTGCATTACTATGAAATGCTAATTTAGTCAAATGTACATTTTGAAGTCGTCGTGGCCTAAAGGATAAGACGTTCGGTGCATTCGTATCTAGCGATGCACCGGTGATCGAATCCCGCAGGTGGGTACCAATTTTTCTAATGAAATACGTACTTAACAAAATGTTCGCGATTGACTTCCACGGTGAAGGAATAACATCGTGTAATAGAAATCAAACTCGCAAAATTATAATTTGCGTAATTACTGGTGGTAGGACCTCTTGTGAGTCTGCACGGGTAGGTACCACCGCCCTGCCTATTTCTGCCCTGAAGCAGTAATGCGTTTCGGTTTGAAGGGTAGGGCAGCCGTTGTAACTACACTGAGACCTTAGAACTTATATCTCAAGGTGGGTGGCGCATTTACGTTGTAAATGTCTATGGGCTCCAGTAACCACTTAACACCAAGTGGGCTGTGAGCTCGTCCACCCATCAAAGCAATAAAAAAAAAAAAAGAGCATAAGTACATAATATATTATACCTAATCCATGAATCAATTTGTAGAATTTCAGTTGTAATCTCCTGATAGCTCCTTACTTTTTTGATATGAATCTAAACATTAGCAATAAAAATATATTAACAAATGATACTTCAAAATTAGATATAGATTTCTATAAAACATAAATGACATGTAGTTTAGCATTAATGTAGATTAAATAAGACACAATTTTCAACGCAACTGCTTTACTTTAAGGTCCAGATTCGACTGCAAGCGATGCAAATAAAAATGATAACACAACACAAAAGCGTTTTTTGAAATACTTGTTGTATTTTGTACAGATGATGTTGAAGAACTTAACGAATAACGCCAAGAATTTAGCGGCGAACGCAAAGATAGAGGACATGACGCAGCTGTTCAAGAGCACCGTTGGCAAGCAGGACGTAAAGCACGCGCTCTCCGGCGTCATGGACATCTCTAAAGAAGTATGTCTTCTGCTATACCTTGCGTTTGATCGTCGCGTCCCATTAAGGGGGCGCGGAACGGGCCTCGAGGGAAGTTACTCTGCCCGGGCTTGAGCTCCTTGCCTATCGAGGCAGGCGTGATGAGCTGCAGGCTTGAGTAGTGCAGTGGCTTGATTTGGATTGGACCGGACGTTATTTTCTTCTTTTTTCTTCCGCCGTCTTCTGTTCTCTTCATTTTTCTTTCTCCGTCTTTTTTCTTCATGCGGACGGCCGCTACTCTCCTCCATTTTTTTTTAAATCTTTCGCATTCGTTCGCTCGTGTCTTCTTCCCCTTTCCCTATTATTTACAATATTGACAAGAGCGGGTATGAAACCCCATTCCTGAAGGGAACGGGGGGTGGGAACTAATACTTATAAAGACATGTGGCTGCCGCGACTCTGCCACATCATTATGCAGGGGAGAACTAAGAAGCACTCTCACTGTCCATGTCGTCCACCATACAAGACAGCTCCAATGCTCCAAGCTAATGACCAAACTCAAGGCGATGAAGGAACATGAACGAACATGCTAAAGCTTCCCCAATTATTTGCGACCATTAAACTCTTACAGCCCATTGTCAAGCCCAAACTTCCTTCGTTTTCAATAATATTTTTCCTCAGCATCTGTCAGCCGAGAAGAGCTTAACGCCGAAGCAATGCGCGGTACTGGACGCGGCTCTGGACACCATCAAGCAGTACTTCCACGCCGGCGGCAACGGACTCAAGAAGACTTTCTTGGAAAAGAGTCCAGAGCTCCAGTCGCTGAGATACGCCCTCAGTCTGTACACGCAGACGACTGACACGTTGATCAGGACCTTCGTTACCAGCCAGCAGAATCAAGGTAATCTTGGGGGAAAATAAAAAAATAAATAAATTTGCATAATATACTTTCCTTTCGCCTTTTGCTTTAGAATCTCATTATAGAAACTTATATACGTGGGCTTAGTGAGAATAATAAAAAAGTTACAAATAGTTAATGATGGTAAGAAAACACTCAAATACCATGGCTTCTTAATTTGGAAGTTTTCCTTGGATATAATATAGCTTCATATTATATAAAGGACACGATTTAAACCCTGACTGTCCATTATGTAACCCAAATAAATAAATAAACAACATATTTTTCTTATTTAGGTAAGAATTTTTACCTTCTTATAAGCCAAAAGATATAATAATGAATTCCTGTTTAAAGGATTCTCTAAAACGATGTTTTTACTATGAAGCTTATGTTTCAATATGGTTCTCAATGGTCTCCAGTCTCCGTATATAAAACCATGGACTATGAGGTGGCATACTTTACTGTCCAACCCTAATGAAACTTTTCACTTGGCAATATCAAACTTAATGTATATTTCGATAAATATTTAGACGCCGCTGTTGCTGAGGAGGGAAGCGTCGGCGAAGTGTCCCTGCAAGTGGACCTCTTCACACATCCCGGGACGGGAGAACATAAAATCACTGTCAAAGGTACTTATTTTCTATCAAAGAACATAATAGTAGATGTACAAATAAAATGGTTATTTAATTTGTAAAAATAAAATGATAGATATATGCCAACGTGCGTGCAATACCCAAAACTACTTTAGTTATTCCGAACGTTTTTTTTTAGTTTAACCCTTTAGAACCTTGATCGATATATTTTTTCTATCATTTTATTTACCTCTAATCTATGCTTACATGTTTGTTTATGAATATGTAATTGTGAGGCTTTAAATCCACAATACCAAGCACACACAGGTTACATGTCGCATGAGCATAGAACAGTTTTCTAGCTTCACCGTTGACTTTGAGCCAAGAGGGCTACGGAATACTTTGCTCCCTTAAAAAAATCTGATTAATTTTGTTGTCTATGACGTCATACGTATTTTTGTTTATCTTCAAAAGATTCTCTGCAAAATTCGATTCAGTACAAAAATGTGTTGCGATTTCAGTGGTTGCGGCAAATGATCTCAAGTGGGTGATCGCGAGTGGAATGTTCCGTCCGTTTATAGAGGTGAACCTGATAGGCCCTCACTTGGCCGACAAGAAGAGGAAGTTCGCCACCAAATCCAAGAGCAACAACTGGAGTCCCAAGTTCAATGAAACCTTCCATTTGTAAGTAACTCGTGCAGAGGACAGACCAATTTCATATTCATCTAGATATTTCTATAGGAGAATTTTCAACGCATTTATAAGTTTTTTCGTTTAAAATTCCGTACAATAATTTAAATTTGGGAACAGTACTGCTTACGGTGTTCAAAATAAAAAAAAAAATTAACTATCTATTGGTACTGGTAACCACAAATCTTTCTTCTAAATCCATTTAGCGTTACACAAATAAAACAATTGGGAAAAAATTCTGTTTTTTTTTAAATGGTTATCAATACTAATCGTCAATACAGTAAAGTAAGCGTTCAATGAAATTTCAACATCAGATTGATGTAAAGATGAATATACCAATTAAAATAACTTTAAAAACTAACTAACAATTAAAAACTATACTCATAAAAAAAAACAATTTAACTGTTTATTAATTTTTCAATAAACTACTACTAATTGAATAAGAACTGTCTGATGAACTCATCTTTGTTTAATACTTCACTATTTAATTTTATTGCCTTTTGTTTATTTCACTTTTACACTAAACACAATATTACAAATTACCCGAGCACAACAATGGCAGACGTAGACATTAACGCGCATGCGCACTTGTCAGTACCTAGGGAGAAAAAGTTACACTTTCTTCCCTGTACAGCGGGAAGATAACCAAACTTTCGGCGTCAGTAGGAAAAAAACGCGTATTTTGTTAGTTTTTTTAAACTATTATTTATATTAAATTTTTTAGTTGAATTTCAATTTTTTCAATTATTTTTTTAAATATTGAATTGTCATCGGTCCTTGATAAGTATACCAAATTTCAAGTTAATTCGAAGTTTTGAAGGGGGTCAAATTCATGTTCAAAGATTTCGTTACAAACATACATACGTCTGAAGCTAATAAAAAAGCGTATTAAAAATAATGACCTCTTTGACTTCGAAATGACCTCTTCGACTTCGAAATTACCTCTTCGACTTCGAAATGACGACTTCGACTTTGAAAATGAGTAAAATAAGTATAAGTATATGCTTCCAGCATGGTGAGCGCCACTGAGCAGCTGGAGTTGTTCGAGCTGCACGTCTGCGTGCGGGACTACTGCTTCGCGCGCGAGGACCGGCTCGTCGGCGTCGCGGTCATGCGGCTCGCCGACATCGCGGAGCAGGTACCACACAACAGACGTACCGCCAAAATGTGTTCTATCACTATACAGTGTGCTCTACCACTATACAGTGTACTCTATCACTATACAGTGTGTTGTATAACTATACAGTGTGTTCTATCACTATATAGTGTGTTATATCACTATAAAGTGTGTTCTATAACTACACAGGGTGCTCTATCACTATACAGTATGTTCTGACACTATACAATGTGCTCTATCACTATACAGTGTGCTCTATTACTATACAGTGTGCTCTATCACTATACAGTGTGTTCTATCACTATACAGTGTGTTCCATAACTACACAGTGTGTTCTATCACCATACAGTATGTTCTATCACTATACAGTATGTTCTATCACTATACAGTATGTTCTATCACTATACTGTGTGTTCTATCTGTGTGTCTGTACATCGAATGAAAGAGTGAAAGTGAAATATGAACTATCATATTTTGAGCGATCGGTCCATCTGTTTGTTCGCTATTGCTGCGGGACGAATTTTCATGTAGACAGTTTTTTTTTCATTAATTCGTTGATTTTATTAACTTATTTCATAAACGTCGAATTCAATACAAAATTTGTCGTTGCTTACAAATTTTGGAATATGGTTAGATATTGAACATTACGTATCAACCATTATTTACATTTTCAAACTCAAACCATTGAACTGATTTTGTTGAAATTCGGTATGAATATAGTTTGAATCTTGGGAATGAAAATAGACCTACTTACCTTTACTTCATCTGCTGGTCACGGGTGTAATATACTAATAAATTTGTAAAAAATATATATTTAAAATATAGTTAATATTCGTTTCATGAGCAGGGTTCGTGTGCCTGCTGGCTACCGCTCGGCACAAGGGTGAAGATGGACGAGACGGGCTGGACGATCCTAAGGATACTTTCTCAAAGACACAGCGACGAAGTGGCTAGGGAGTTCGTCAAATTAAAGTCGGAGATGAGAGCCGAGGCGCCGGCCGGAGGTCAAGGACCCTCGTGAACAAAACTGACAACCAAAAGGGCCACAGCATTCAGCAAATCGCTCAACTTCACACTCGAAGGCTCTGCCCGAACTCACGTCCCGAGTTTCGGCTCGGGAACAGAGATAGACATACCCAACGCACAACGAGTGCGACTGAGAGAGACGACGCCAATAAAACAGAGTACCAATAACCATTCGGCGCTCCGGCGGCTCCCGGTCAGTGCTCGTTATATCATTTGTAGTCTCGATTTCGAGATGAGTTTTGTAAATAAAATTATTGTATTATGTTACGCGACTAGGGGTATGATTTGCACAAATTCGTATTTCATTAACATTAGCAGAAAAGACTGACCGTAGGCGGCTGAGGGCGCCGCGGCGTTCCGCTGCATTAGGCGATCGGTAAAAGAACACTCAACACTGTATTAGACACAGTGTTGCCATGTTAAAAAAATATCCCCAAATCGAAGGATATCCCATTTAAAATTCGACCTTCGTTGAGTTGAAAACATTAAACAACACACACTTTTTGCGGAACTCCTAATACAACGGACGCGGCAAATACGCGATTTAAGTAATAATATTGATATGGACCAAACTGTCGTAAAATACGGATGAATTAATCCTTAATCCTTAAAATATTAAAAGCATTATTTATCTAATTAATCATCTTATCGTTATATGTGTACAGTGAATAATATATGGCCTTATGTAAATTATTTCCTACGTTTGTTGGTATTTGCTTCTGTCGAGTTGGTAATCGTATATGAGTGTGTTAATGAATGTTCTATATGATATAAATGCGTATCTCTATATATTATTTTCTGTCGGTGACCGCGTGGTTTGTAGGTTATCGCGAAAACATGTTTAGGTGATGTGTTCTGTATCATGGAATTAATATAGTTATAGTAAAAAAAAATGTTATTCTAAAATGTAAGGTTTGTCATTTTTTATATAAATTGTTTTAGCGTCCCGTATTGATTGATCTGAATTTTGTCGTGGTCCACACTTACCATTTTATTTATGTGACGATTCTGAAATGCNCCGCGTGGTTTGTAGGTTATCGCGAAAACATGTTTAGGTGATGTGTTCTGTATCATGGAATTAATATAGTTATAGTAAAAAAAAATGTTATTCTAAAATGTAAGGTTTGTCATTTTTTATATAAATTGTTTTAGCGTCCCGTATTGATTGATCTGAATTTTGTCGTGGTCCACACTTACCATTTTATTTATGTGACGATTCTGAAATGCAAATACGGTACATAATGTTTAACGTTGGTTTTTTTGAAATCGTTTCCGGTTTTATTTAGTGACGTACGCGGCGTATACATCACAGGATGTTACGTCATTACGCGAGTGTAATAAGAAGGTAACAGTTTCAAGATTTCCTTTTTGCATACCCAATGATTGAATCATGAGTCATGTTAATCACAGTTCGCTATCGCTTCTCAACAAGCTTGGCCTCTGCGTGTACTCTCAATATATTCTTGTATAGTAAAAATTGTGATATCGTCGTAAATTTCCCGTTGACTTCATACTCTCCTCTATCAATATACTGTTTAAAATACAATTCAATATACATGTATAACTGTTATGATTTTCTTTTTTATGTTCATTGTTCAGATAATAGATTAAGTAACTTAATTATTATTTTTTACATTTAGAAAACTAAACACATAAGACACAGTCCACAATATATACGTTACTCATTATTATTTATATATTATATTATTATTTAAAAATTTGTGTACATTTTCAATACCACCTTAAATTCTTGTATTATAATACATAATTGTTTTTATCTTTCATTATCATTGTTTGATTTCTATATCTTTTTTTTTTAAAGCACGCGGAATTTTCCCGTAATTCTTGGATATTTTTAATGCTGGTCACAAAAAGTGGTATTGAAAGTATACAGGTTGTATAGAGTATACCAATAGTAAATGTTACGGGACTTAGATTTTTTATTATAATTAACGTTTATCATGGATTACATATCTGTAGATAGATAATGTGGTTCATCTATAGTCCAAATCTGAATAATATACGTTAAATATTACTCGTCTTTAACTATTTAATAAATAATAATTTTATTTAATAATTCCATTTCCGACTTGACTGATTCTTATTAATATATGTCATAGACAAATTTAATGAAAATTTCTTATTACGCCATTGACATAGTTCTCTTTAATCTGGGTACGATGACAAGATACAAGCGTATATTTCTACGTTGAATAGATTTATGTCAACATACTAGACTATAATTATAACTGATCCATTATTTCAACATTAAACGAAAAAATCGATTATAAATTTAATCATGTTGTTTTAAACCGGTTTTTTTAATTAAGGCAAAGGTGTTTTAATTGAGATATGAAATCGGATTTTGTCGCTTTATAATTCACGCACTGTTAACACAAGAAAAAAACTAAGAACCAATACCAGTATTACGATCAGTTTTGATTGGGTATTACATGACAATTATACACGGGAATTTAAGAAAAGGTTTTTTTTCTCAATAAAACGCGCACATTCCATTGTACCATCATACTACGACTCGTTGGCGATGATAATACACGTACATAAAATAAATTTAAATAAAATCAAAATAGGAAACATGATCAATAACACTGTTATTAAAAAACCGGCTTTTGTTTACAGATTTTTTTTAGTTTTACCGATTTTTTTTTCATTCATTACCAACGAGTCAAAACGTCGACACATGAACTTCACCATATTTTGACAATACTTTGTAAACCTTTGGTAAGTGTAACCGGTGATCGTATCACGCGCATCACAAAATGTTACGCTCCAGTTTTAGTATTAATAAAAAAAATCACTAAAACATTGCATATATCTTTGTATAAAAATGCATATATGTAAATGTTACATGTTTAAACACATTATTGAATTTAGAATTTTTATGAAAAAAATAAATAAATAAATATCCGTATTTCAAATATATCTGGTTTTTTCATTGCACTTAGCGCTAGTTGTTAGTGTGTGTTCGTTTTGAAATTACTGAATACATGAGTCCGCACGGGTAGGTACCACCACCCTGCCCATTTCTGCCGTGAAGCAGTAATGCGTTTCGCTTTGAAGCATGGGGCAGACGTTATACTGTAAAAATTGCCACTTAGAACTCATATTTCAAAATGTTTGGCGGCATTTGTGTTGTTATGTATATGGGCTCCGGTAACCACTTAATACTAGGAGAGCCGCTAGATCGTTAACCCTGCATTGGTCCTCCTGATGGTGAGTCCGTCACTCATGGACATCAGACTGACAGGGGCACATCTAGGTACCTATCTCTATCATCTAGGTACGTATTTCATTAGAAAACTATATTTTCCACCGGCATTTGAATATCGGCATAGTCGCACTGCTAGAAACATACATCGAGCATCTTATCCTTCACGCCACGACTAGTTCTAATATCCTAGATTTGTCATAAAAGAAGATTTTGGACACGAAGGAAGTGAAAAACATTATCAATGCTAAACTGATAATTAAGGAAAATAATTATAAAAAGAAATAAACGAAAAAGACACTCAACAAAATGAATTCACAGATGAAAAAGAATTTTTTGTGCTCAAACAACTGGATAAGACCTACACACATTAACATTTAACTTGAATAGAAAAAATTAATATACTATTGAATGCACCCTTTGGGTGTGAATACAACTTGCATAAGGTCGGTTGTATTAAAAGACGTCAGAGGCTGACTTTACTATATTAAATAATAAAAAAATATATATAAATAGATTTAAAAACTTAAGTATCAAAGTTCTGCTCAAGGCCTTCAATTAGTTATAGTCTCGTGGGGTAAGTGAACCTTATTTTTGGTGAAAACGGTAAAAAACGGCCTAAATTTATCAAAATATGAATTTTGGGAGGCAATTTACATTTTTAACAGATTTCGTAGCCGAAAATGGATTTTTAAGCAAATCAACATTCGTCGTCGTGTAATAAAACTCTAGCGTTGCAACCTTGGCCCATTGAGTTTCTCGCCGGATCTCCTCAGAGGGTCGCGTTTCCGATCCGGTGGTCGATTCTGCGAAGCACTGCTCTTGCTAGGGTCAGTGTTAGCATCATTCCGGTTTGAGTCCCGTGATACCTACTAGTTAAGGTTACGCTGAAAAAGCCTCTCAAGGCTATCAGCTTAGGAAGGAAATAAAAAAAACAAACATGGCGGGAATGAAATGTGTCTAACTTCATCAAGACTCATGACTGTCACTCGTCTAATCTCGATTTTAAACTGCTCGATTTTGCTTCTTGGAGTTCAGAGAGTAATGGTAGTTACAGTCTAAATGCCATGATAATTTGGAGTCTCTAAAATATTCCATAGGGAGGTAACTGCTATTTTACACTATGTGAAGTTGCTAATACATTAAAAATCTCTTAACTTGTGAAGTTCTCCCCTAGATTGCGGCTTAAGAAATATTAAATTTACTGATGGACATATATATGTATAAACACTAGAAATCATTTATAATACATTAGAATAAGAAAAGGAAATCGGTGAACGGTTTACGCATTTTTTGTGCATTTTTTTAGCTACAGTCAGTAAATAGTTATAAACATTCAAGACTGAATCAATCTTCCCCCGCGAACTCCAGCTGATCGTAACGGGCTATTTAGGAAACAATTCGATTGGAACGCAGACACTCCTACACCGACGTAGTGACGTCACAATACGAGAAATGTTAGCGGGGAGAATTTATTTAAAACGTCACCCATTCATAAACATTAGCAACGAACACTGAAAAAGCTTGCAGCATTCAGATACTGACCACCGTCGCGTACGCACGTTGCTGCGAAGACGAAAACGCGCTATTTATAACTGACTCGTTCTTGCCAATACAAAGGCCGTTTGTGTTAAAGCACGCGGATCGACTTGTTGGAGAAAATGAGCGGCAATTTCCTAACGATACCCGGAGATGATGCTATTCAGAGACGATCAAGGGTAAGTGATGTAAACAAAAACGGTCCCAGCACGAATTCCAATGTTAAACCATTACCTACTCAATATTTAGTGTAGACAAGGTTTAATATATTAGTAGAATAGTTATAAGCTATGGAATAATTTTAAATAAGTTTGTGAATTTTTTAAATTATTAGTCTAATAAGTTTATTCTGAGTTTCGGTTTTCTGTTGTGCATTGAGGTCTGTATATTATGTATCTTTGCATACCAGAATTTACTGTCAATAGGAAATAATTGAAAGTACTGTCTCTGTATTCCTTTAGTGAGGTATGGTATACAAAGTATCGAGATTAGGTAATTATTACTTGATTAAAGATAAATTTAAATCCAAATTGTAGGTCATATGTGAAAAAAATCCTGCGTAATCTAGATAGATGATATTCTATCTTACAGTGGAATTACCTGACCTTTTAATACCAAGATTCTACAGTCTTATGACGCTTTTTAATTTTAATATAAATCTGAAGGTCACATAATATGTGAAATCATTCCTGCGTAATCTAGATAGAAGATATTCTGTCTTACAGTGGAATTACTTGACCTTTTAATACCAAGATTCCACAGTCTTATAACGCTTTTTACTTTTAATATAAATCTGAATCAAGGTACGGTTGTAAAGACGATTTATTTTTGGAAAGATAAGGACGAGAATGTTAATTCGATATGAACTCCCTGAATGAAAGTTCATTGATTTCCCAAATTGAAATTCGGAGGCGATTAAAATCCTGAAACCTTCATTCATTCATTCATTGACTTTACGTATAAAGCATGAATAAAATACAACCCTTAGTCCTTTTCGCAAATGGTAATTACCTATTCAGATCATCAGTCTATGTGTCATAGGTCATACATAAATGAAGATTAAGTTAAACAGGAATTGAGTTCAATGAAATTTACTCTAGTTATAAGAAGAAGACGTGTTAAAACTTAATTTAGTGGCACTTTCATTCGATATGATAAAAAGAGATATGATATAGAGTATTTAATATGTAAAATAGATATTTTTTCCGGAACTCCTGAACTACTATTTCTATATGGTTTTTACTCAGACGTGACAGATCTTTTGCGTAACAAAGCTTTAGAAGGATTGGATTCGATATAATGTGCTTCTGGTAATACCGTAGTTCTTGAGCGAACGTGAACACAGCGCGTGCTGGGGTGTTAACCTCAAGAAACATAGTCACGTTTAAAATCTAATAAACTTTTATAATATTAGTCGATCAAAATTTTGTGGCAGGCAAAAATAGCTGCAGTAGTTTTTTAAATCTATACTAATATTATAAAGAGGAAAGATTCGTTTGTTTGTTTGTATTGAATAGGCTCCGAAACTACTGAACCGATTTGAAAAATTCTTTCACTGTTTGGAAGCTACACTATTCCCGAGTGACATTTGAAAAAATGAGGGATCCTTACTAAAACTCCAATAATGTAATCCAATGTGTAAAAAAATTACCTACAATATTCTTTACATCGCCTGCCCTGCGAAAACTATTGATTATAGAATAAAACAATGTACTTTGTAGAGCACATTATTATTTACAAAAAGTGTCACGACATCGTATGTCTAACTATTAAAGTTATGCCGCAATAACTGTTCTTTTATTTTAAAAAATAAAACAACGTCAAACATCGTTGAAATTTTTGTTAAATACCCGAGTGGAGCCGGAGCGGACCGCTATAGCTAATAACATGAAATGACAGTCCCATTAAGATAATCTACCCATCCCAAATCTGCCAGTGTCAGCCAATAAAATGGGTGGATTTGTAAATAAAATGACGGACTAAACACAGCGAACTGTTAATAGTGCAAAGCTGCTTAGGAGCTAAGCTGAAAGGTCGTTTGTCAAGGGTCATTTCACATGCACCGCGTTTTATCATCTTACGTAAAGCAGTAACAAGATTACGCATAGAACATATAAATGAATAGAGCGGATATTTGTATTTTTATATTTTAAATAAAAAAATATTTCATATATATAGGTAGAACATTATGAGATATATTTTTCCGTAAAAAATCAAGATTTATTCATTGCTTTGTTTCATGTTTCATTTATTAATAACATTTACAGCTTATCATAGTGTAACGGCAAAGATTCGTCATCGCTTGATAATTTTCCGAGGATGAAGGTAATACCGAAGCACAGTGTAATTGCAACCATGTAACTCGCTTTTAAGTATAAAATTTGCCAAAGTATTTGTTTTATGAAGAGGTTTTTTAGCCAATCGTGATTTTTTTTTATTGTTTCAGTGTAGCAATCGGCTTTTTTCTTTGCTACTTTTGCCAACTTCAAGTTTTTTAAATCTGCAATAATAATTTACTATTAATAAATAGTAGATATATTTGATTCTTTTATGAAACTGAGACCAGTTGGAATGAAACAAATAATATAAAATAATGGTCAGTGAAATGGTGGGATTATATTGAGACTTCAGTGTAATTTTTAAAAGGAACCAAAAAGACAATTCTGCCGATTTTGTTTCAATTTCCCATACTAGTATATCTCAATAGATGCTAAAGGTTCATAAATCGTCGTTTTTTGACTATGTAAAGAATAATATTAAATATGAAATACTAAATCAACGTAATAAAAAAATTCAGTTCTATTGACATCTCGCGTTACCACCAAAAATTAATAATACTTAATATAATAATTTTCTCGTTATTTTTATAACGCCAGAGATTTTACTATGCAAACAATTCCAAGTAAGATTTATCGGCATTTAACCTTTTTGCCTTATTAATCTCTAGTAGGCGAGTAGTAGACTTATTGCCATAATTTGGTAGCGTATTTTTTGACAACGTATTTTTTGTCATTTCAACGAAAAAACGACTCGTATGTTTTATTTAACTTTACTTACTTTAATTAAAACTAGAGGTCCCGCAGTAGTCGAACTTCGACTATAATTAATTGGAATTGTAAGTTTGTACGCTATTATGATTGTATTTTATACTTCTTTAATCATAAATTTCGCCAAGACTACACTATAAAAATATTAACAAAGACAAACAATATTTAATCTATTCTCAATTTGACAACAGACGTCAAGAACAAAAGTTTGACAATAAATAGTATGCATGCGTGTGTGCGTCAAATACATGGTATGTAGTGTGTGTAATGTTTTCTTTATTGAATTAATGTATCTTTTATGCATTATTTAAAAAAAAAAATAGCATTGTGCACTTCTCTATATTCTCTAAACGTGTGAAAAATTTCATACTCCTCCGTCCGCGCAATTTTCGTAAAAAGGGATACAAAGTTTTTGCTTCACGTAGTAATATATAGATAGTTGGCGACTTGTTGTAGACTAATTGAGTCGATACAAAATTAAATAAAGAATTCGAATTTCTGTTTAAGACTTTTTAAATTGCGATAATCTACGTAGCTACGTAGCTAGTGCTACTGCATGCGCATGATATAGTGCTGGGGTGTAGCGTGCCCGCATGGGGACTAGCATACCTTATATTGAGGTAGATAGTCCTGTACCCATGTATTACGGAACCGTCCTAGGTAAAAAGGTCATGTGGTGTAAGATCATCAGATTCTACCTATTTCTAACGTGAAGTATAACATCAGGTTTGAAATTTATTTATTTTTTGCTTAGATGAGTGGACGGTCTCACAGCCCACCTGGTGTTAAGTGGTTACTGGAGCCCACAGACATCCACAACGTAAATGCGCCACCCACCTTGATATATAAGTTCTAAGGTCTCAAGTTTCTAGTTATATCACAGAGCTGTTATAATATAGAATAAAATTAAGACTTCGGCATCTCGCAAAGTAAGCCTTTGCTATTATAGAACTCAGTGGGACTTTTCTGAAATGAAAACGATTGCGAACTGATACTGGGTATAAATTAATTATAATTCAAGAAGTTCATAGCTATGTCAATCATAAATAATGGATTGCCTAACTTTGCCTTCTTTTGTTTGTTAATATATGTTTGTGTTTTAGGTCTCTTAGAAATAGATTAGTTCTCAGTCTCTTCGGTTTCGTCTTTCCCAGAATCTACTGGATATCCCGGCGCCTTAGTAACAGAAATCGACATAATTACCTCAGTGCGCTACGTAGGGCACCGGGGACCTACATGGTAGTCAAAGCGTTAAGGTTTATATCCATATATATTAACAAGCCTTCAAATATTTTTTTACACTTTCCGATATTTAGTCGGAATCGTTCTAACGATCGGAAACCGTTAACCGTAACCACACAACGACAATAGCTTTATTTAATACCAGAATCAGCGTCTAGTGACTCTAGTCTAAATCTGTCCGCTGCCAGTGCCAGTCTCAACATAGACAATGCGCACAAAAACACGACGCGATCACGTGAATCACGTTCAGCAAAGAAAGGAAATTGACTAGTGATTTCATTGTCCATATAAATGTAGAATTGGGATCGTAAATAAATAAAACTGTTGCACTGGATTTTAATGTTATTGTTACATATTTTATACAAAATCTTATATGTCATTGCAATTAAAATTAGTAGATGTCTCTTGATATACCGCTCGCTCCGTGGTCGGCGCCATATTTATTTTTACGTTCTTTTCTTACCTTGATTGTCTAAATAAGGTTTTTAGAGAAATAATTGAAAACTATGCGATGCGTTCGTAATTGTTTAGTTTCTCGTGATGTTTTCAGTTTCAGAATAGAAATATTTATTTTAAGTTGTCGTGGCCTGAAGGATAAGACGCTCGGTGCATTCGTATCGAACGATGCAATTGTGCCGGTGTTCGAATTTCTCTGGCGGCTACCAATTTTTGTAATGAAATGCGTATCTATTTGAAATGCAGGATCTCTTGTGAGTCCGCACGGGTAGGTACCACCACCCTGCCTATTTCTGCCGTGAAGCAGTAATGCGTTTCGGTTTGAAGGAAGGGGCAGCCGTTGTAACTATACTGAGACCTTAGAGCTCATATCTCAAGGCGGGTGGCGCATTTACGTTGTAGATGTCTATAGGCTGCACTAACCACTTAACACC